AATATTATATAATATTATAATAAATACATTATACTATAATTACTATTATATAATATTATTAATATATGTTATATTAAGTTTTTATTAAAATATTAATATATGTTATATTTTATATATCATGTCATATATTTATAATATAATTGCATGTATTAGTTAAGTAATACAAAAATATTTTAAAATTATCCCAATTGCCTTCAAAGTGGAACAACATTGTTCCAATATGGAGGATGGGGTAAATTTTTACTATTGGGACAAAATTTTTGTATATGAATGGGGTGATTTTATCCCAAGTGGTGTAATTGTCTCACTAGTGTTTCAAAAAAACCAATAACACAAAAAGGTATTATCTTTGTTCCATTGTCCCAATGAATAACACTATGAAATAGAATCCCCAAAATTATCCCATTATCCCCCAAAATATCCTAGCCAATAACCCCCCCTAAGAATGAAAGGAGAAAGGAGAAGGGGGTGGAGGATTAGGTTTTGGGTTATTTTGATATGAAAGTAACGAAGGGCTGAGATTTTGCATCCTTATTCATTGGTGTAAATGGGGGCAAATTGGGTTAAATGGTTCCAATGGGATAATTTTACCCAATGGGACAATTTGAGTTGGATAAAGTGGGGGTAAAATGGGTTAATGAGACAATTTGAGTGGGATAATTAGTATAACATTTTTTTATAATATGATATTATAAATCAATTAAGTTCAAGTTTAACTTGATATAACATCAAATGATTAAATAAATAATAGTTATAATATACAATAATATTATTTTTAAGTTTATTTTAATATAAAATATTAAAAACAATATAATAATATTAATAATATTAATATTAATCAATCTTTGAATATTTTGATGTTTATTTTAGCTATTATGTTATATTAACAAAATTTTTAATTGCAATAATTATTTAATCATTCCTACATCTATTACAATGATGATGATAAAGTCTCAATTATTACAAATAAAGTCTTTAGTCAGTAACTTAAATCTTAATTATTACAAAT